GTGTGTGTGTGTGTGTGTGTGTGTGTGTGTGTGTGTGTGTGTTGCCAGGCAGTGAGCTCAGCTGCTTTCAGCTCTTTCCAAAACATGACATCATCTGTTGGGCTGAGGCCGGAAACGAGACGAAGGATTTAAATCGTCAGCTGAGGGTTGAGTCGACGACAGGAAGCACAGGTCCAGGTTCTGTTCCTCTGCAGCCCGGTTCCACTCTTCTTACACATTTTAAATGTTTTACATTAAAAACCTGAAGGCAGCTCTGTGAGGCTTTAATACGTGTAGATTAAAAATAAAGATGAACTGAAAGTTGTCTGAGCTGCTGCAGACGGTTTATACCTGCCTGCTTCAGGTGTTAGAGTCAGTGATTCAGGTTTCTATGGTGTGGTATGAGGGTCAAAATTAAGATTATTGTGCAGCTAATGGTCCTGTCATTAATCAGATCAGTAGCTGGTTAGGAACAGATTATCCTCCTGCTACAAGGATGTAACCACTGGTTGAGTTATAATCTTAATTTTGACCCTCAGTCATCCCACCCTGTGACCCTCAGGTCATAGGTTTCTATGTCCTGATGATGAGCTCATGAAACAAACATGGCCGCTCCTCAGAGCTGTTTGCTGTGGTAGTAGCTGAGAGTCCTCCCAGCAGGGGGGCAGGACAGCGGGCCGGTTGAACGGATCAGAACTTTGGTTCTGTTGTTGTTCTCTGAAGATGTTCTTCTTAAGAAATGTTGAGTTTTTGTTCAGAATAATGATAATAAAAGCTTTGTGTGGGTCTGTGTTCCAGCCATGTCTCCGGTGCTGGCGGGCTTCCTTGGAGCCGGTGTTCTGGTCCTGGTTGTGGTGATTCTGGTTCTGCTCTGGTCGTTCTGTCAGCGCCGGTACCTGCGGGTCAGCGGACGCTACAAGCTGCACGGTGACCGGTACTGTGACGCCGAGGACCCCCCCTACAAGTTCATCCACATGCTGAAGGGGATCAGCATTTACCCAGAATCCCTCAGCGGCAGCAAGCGGATCGTCCGGGGGATCCGCCGGGCCGAGCGGGACGGGGCCTCTGCCGGCGCCGCGGGGAGGGGCATGGTGCTGGTGGACGCAGAGAACAACGTCCTGGACGTCCCGGGTCAGCTGCAGATGAGTCACCTGGTGCCCCCCGCCAGGACAGGCTCCGCCCACGGCCCGGCCCGGCTGGAGCGGGCCTTGCCGGTCCGAGCCGATTACTGCTGCCTGGACAGCAGCTCGGCCAGCAGCAGCCAGACCAGCAGCAAGACCGTGTCCCCGTTTACCCCCGCCTCCTCAGAACCAGAACCAGAACCGAGCCTGGGCTCCATCAGCCTCACCGTCGACTACAACTTCCCCAAGAAGGCCCTGGTGGTGACCATCGTGGGGGCCCGGGGCCTCCCCGCCGTCGACGAGCAGGTGGGGAGTTCTGACCCGTACGTCAAGATGACCATCCTGCCCGAGAAGAAGCACCGGGTCAAGACCCGGGTCCTGAGGAAGACCCTGGACCCCATCTTCGACGAGACCTTCACCTTCTACGGCGTGGCCTACAGCTCGCTGCCCGAGCTCACCCTGCACTTCCTGGTCCTCAGCTTCGACCGCTTCGCCCGCGATGATGTCATCGGGGAGGCCGTGGTGCCGCTGAAAGGCGTGGACCCGAGCACGGGCCGGGTCCACCTGAGCCAGCAGATCACCAAGAGGAACATGCAGGTGGGTCAGAACCCCTCACAGATTAGTCCAGGATCGTATGGAATAAACTTTGTGCCAACAGGAAGTGAGTTTGAATTGTTCAGATTGAATCTGAATGTTCATAATTTGAAACTGAATTCATTGGTTTGAAAATAAATTTCACTAAATTCAAACTGAATTTAATGATCTGAATTAATTTGCTTTGAAACTGTATTTTGGTTTATTAAAAATTCAGTTTGACTACTTTCACTTTCAGTTCCATAATTCAGATGTTTGTGTCACATCCTGGTCCTTGAGAAAGCCAGGCAGAGTAATCAAACACAGATCCACAGATTTATGTTTCACTTTACATCACATCATGGATCAGTCAGCAGCAGCATCTGATCCATGATGTGATCCATGATGACATCATGGATCAGTCAGCAGCATCTGATCAATATGTGATCCATGATGTGATGTAAATGTAACATTTTCTACATATAGGTCAAATTAATCGCTGCAATAAAATAACTTTGTGTGTTTTTGCTACACATTCTCACTCCCATCTCGTCACATATTGACGCTTTTTCCAAGGTTCCCTCTACGTC